CTTACAAGGTTGGTACCACGGTCCAATCACAGGTAGATGACATTACAGCTTTTCCATTTCAAACTGTTTTTAAACAGGAAGCTTACCTCGTTGGCTAACATAAAATAGAGCTCCTCTTTGCTGACGTGTAATCTTTCTCTGTCTGTGCTGTCTATGACGAGTATTACAAACTGAAACAGGTGGAGACAGACATCAAAGATAAATTCATTCTAAACGTATTACCCGGGTCCTCCAACCTGGTTTAAGAAACAGACCATGCCAGCACTGGCATGCACAGAGATTTTTTTAGTGTCGTTATTGTATCAAGTGAATTATTGTATTTGAAATGATCATGCTCTGTATTGTGCAGTGCCTCGAGCCGTGTTATAGTCACGACAGCACGGCTCGCTGCATCTTGTGGGTCATTCACCACCCAATTGCGAATCTAGTCGCGAGTGCCGGGGGACGACTAAACGACAAAGGCCTGGCCTCGGTCACAGTCTACTTGAACAACTGTGACTAGAGGCCGAATCAATGAGTGGATTCACCGGGTGACGGCGTTCTAAGACTTCAGAGGACTTGTAATGGACACAATTATAACTCTGTCAGCCAGCAGTAAAAAACATCTCGCGATACGCAGTGCCACGACACTGTGTCATGGTACGCCGGCGTCAAAGGTTGCGATTTCATCGCACGACTTACTTCGGTACCGGCGTAGTACGTGCTCCAGGCAGAGCGTAGCGACTCCTGACCCCCGATGTCCCACATCAGGAAGTGTATGTTTTTCCATTTCACCTCCTCCACGTTGCTTCCTATCGTGGGCGACGTGTGGACAACTTCGTTCATGAGACTGCAGGAGTTCGATATGACAATATTACAATTCCTGAGCGACAATATGTAATTCAAAGGCAGAGGTAATTTTATGCCGTATAGTCTCAATTGCAGAGCATCTGCAACCCTCATTACAAAATACAGCTGGGGTACGTGCCTTCCCATGACAAATAAAATGCAGCCTGGATAAAAGGCCTCAGGTGAAGTCTCCTTCTGCACTGCAACATGCTAGATTGGCAATGTCAGTTTTATTACATGATCAAGAGACGGCTGGTTGCCGATGGCAACCACAGCATTCCATCTCAGCAACAGAATTAAAGTGTATGCCACAGCATTCTGCCGTCATTGTGAGGCCAGCTTTAGAGGGTTTGCATGGCTGCCATCTTGCAGTCCAGTGCTTTTGTTCCATGGGAGGTTTCCCTGTGGAACAAAAGAAGAGCCCTGCAAGATGGCTTCCATGCAAAGCCTCTATATGCAGAGTTTCAAATAACTCAATGCGTCTGTTCTTTAATTCTAAATTTAAAAGGCCACTTACATTTGGTATAAAATTGTTGTCTTGCCGGCATTGTCCAGCCCAACGATGATGACTTTGTGTTCTGTGGAGGAAAGAATTCCAATGTCTGAACCTCACAAGGCATGTAAAGTTTTCATGTAAAAGTCATAACAGGTGACTGACGCAACAGGACTCAAACCGCATGTGGAACTAGTCCCAAAGTGCTGCATTACTGAAGATTTCTTTGTGATTACTGTTTTTATGAATTTATTTCTGTCGAAAAAAACAAACAAAACTAATGACAAACCAAAGTCTTAACAAGTCCTCTAATGTTTTGTGTTAACTTCAAAATGTCATCCCTCCAAAACCTTTCGGCCATTCTCACCTTCGTTGTTGAAGAGACTCCAAATCTTGGAGAATAAAAACCCCATGGCTTGTTCAGCACTTGGGTCTCAGTGTCTGGACAGTTCAAGGAGAAATTCAATGCCAGATAAAAAATCACAAGAGTTTGGAGAAAGAACTACACTCAAAGAATCAGAGTACACACTCGGTAGACATTTCATGCTCCAGAAAAAAAAAATTCCTTTCAATCTCCTTGAAGAGATGTCTGATGATTGATAAATTTCAGCATGCTCAGGTTTGGTTGTCAAGTTAAAATTCGACAGTTAAGTGTCTGGGTACAGTCTGCTAGCACGCACATGTATGTAGTCTCAGTACAAGTTTTTTTGTACCAAACTTTCATAAGTCTTCCAAATAAACAGCCTTGCAGTGATGGTCAATTCTTTGTTTTTCTTCCTGCAAGTCCAATGCGAAGCACCTCTAATGTAGTGGCTATGTATTATCTTCGTCCATCCCAAACCACCTGCTGGATCTCTTGCAACTTGGCTTAGGTTACAACCTAGAACTAACCCGGATTACAATCTATAAACAGCATACCACAGCACAATTTGAGGAAGAGACTGTAATTGCTTTCTTTTTTGTGGTTCACAAAACATATTCCCAGGATAACATCCTGGTCCATCATATTGTGGTGGTCAGTCAGGACCCGAGCTTTAGTGATGTTCTTTCATTGGAAATGTCCCTCTATCGTAGAGAGTTCTCTTTGACATTTGGACTTTGCAAGGATAAGGTAAAGCTATGTGTTGCCATGGCAACAGACTGACGCCTTGCAACCTCCCAGTTTTGGTGTATGATGTGGAATTAAACCTCACTGCAGTGGGCCAATAAAAACTTCATAATAAAAGTATCTTACAATAGAGCCTAGCAGCATCATTGCCTTCGCAACAGTGTCCAACACGATCATTTTCTGTGGCAACCGAACTTTAAAACTCAGGGTGGTATTTGCAGGCAACTGGCCTTCAATGTCTCTTTAATAACAAGCAGTGCTGTTGTCCATATCCTTGCAATCCAGCAGGATGAAGCGAGGCCATCGTGAGGGGCAGGAAATGGTCCAAGCCTCCTTCTGTCAATATTTATTTGAAACGCCGGCACTTAGGCATCAAGACTGAAACTGGAAAACGAACGGGCAGACAAGCCGTACAAGCTGCAATTACAGTACCTCCAATACTCAGACAAATTGCTCAGTACCATCAACGTGACAGACACCAGTGAAAACAAGTACCGGTAAATTAGCATTTGATACATGTATGCCGTTTCGTGTACGCATAATTTGTATATACGTGACCTGTCATGACAAAATGAGAGTAAAGTAGCATCCCACTCTTTCCTGTTTTGAGGGTTCAAAGTTATTTTGAAGTACAGGTCAATTTTGGGGTTTTGTAATATTTGGAAAGAGTGACCCGTCATCTATTTAATTCCAAATATTTCACAGGATCACATATTGTAAAAACTCATTTTCTTAGCAATTTGGATGAGATCATTATTTGTGCCTGGTCTGAAATGTTGAAACAATGTCAGGAACACAGATGCAAAGCTGCCAGAATAATACCACATTGTCAACTTATACTTTTACCCTAAGTGTTGAATGTAAATACCATTGGAAAGCTCCCTTTCTGCTGAATTCAATAACACCAATATCTCAGTTTTTGAAAATTCCGACTCTCGGCTCATTTTGTGGTGACAGGTCACCCATATGTTACAATTTATGGAAAGTTATTCAACCTTTGCAGTTCTCGTTATCAAATTTCCGAAGGTTAAAAGCAGACGATATTTGATTATTTACCAAGTTCCCACAGAAAATGTTTTAGGAACTGAGTATCTTTAATTAAATTACCATGTAGGATCACTTTTTTGAGTGACACGTGTATACCTTAACCTTCCTAGACCCATCAAAATCAATCACGTAATGAACTTAAGTTTGACAGTAGCTGGCCTCAACCTCTCTTCCCAAAGTCGGCATTCTCAAAAAAAAAATTCATAAAGAAAAAACTTCCTGGTGGACTTCTAAATATTCTACGAGGTTCAGGGAGTTGTCTCGCATGCATGCACACCCACGGTAGTGCCAATGGCGTGTTCACTGTATAAATGTTCCTGTAAAACCAGCCACCATTTACACAAATACAGCACTGTCCGGGGGGTCAAACTTTCCAGCCAAGTTTCTGGTATGCATCCATGTGCTTTTGCATCTTTCCCAACAATCACCCGATCAGCATTCCTTCCATTCATAATTGTCCCGCTGCCCTTGACCTAGCACTATGCCATACACTCTTCTCATGTACTGACGCCAGACCGGTAAAGCACTGACCCCTCCACGGGGTACCAGTTCAGGTCTTGCCAACAGGGGCCAGTTTCATAGAGCTGCTTAAGCACAAAATTTGCTTAAGCGTGAATAAAACCTTGCTTGACAAATCAGGTTACCAGCCAAAACTCCATGTGATGTACATAATTTTGGAATGGTATTCACCTGTCTTTTGGTTTAATAGCATGACAATTGCATAGATTTTAAACTGGTAGCCTTTGTTTTTTAAGCAATTTTTTTCTGCGCTTAAGCAAATTTTGTGCCTAAGAAGCTCTATGAAATTGGCCACTTTGTGTACTTTCACATTTGGGATCTGCTGTAATTACTAACACCAGACAACAGACTCATCTACTTGTGATTCAAGGATTTCATTCCCCCCCCTAAGATAAATGTCAAGCTCATTATGACATTTCCTAGTGTCTCTCCTTGTTTATTTTGATTTGTTTTTTTCAATTACATTTACAAACCCATATTGCAAAAGGGTTTGTTTCCATTAAGGTTCCAAATCACACATTGTCAATGATGGCTACGAGCAGTCAGAGTACGTGTACTTCCTGCGGGTGGGGGAAAAATGTGAAAGCATTACGACAATGCCCTGAAAGAACGAAATGAAACGGACACAGCCTCATACATAGAATGTTAGATAACTGTTGATACTATGGACTTCCACTGTTACTAAACATAAAGGAAGCCGATCTGCCTAAATGCACATGTCATGGACTGCTGCGCGATCAATATCTGTGTGAACTCTCGCATTCAGAGGCTGGTGTTGTCTGGGATAAAGAAACAAGAGTACATGAAACTAATTCATGGCAGAATGGACTATCATGGGGAGTTTTTCTGAATGGACAATGTGAAAAAAGTACATGGGTTCTTTGGTAGAATACGCACACTGCAGTTTGACAGTATCAATTACGCTTTTTAGATGAATGTTTCTGTACTTTGAAATCATATTTTTCTTCTTTCCTTTATTCGAATATTCAATATTTCTCTCTCATAAACAACATATCCCTCTCATTAATATGTAATTCTCTTTTGGCTCCACGGCAACAAGACAGCTATTTTAGCCCTAAAAAAAAAGTACATGTAATTGTGTAAGACGTCTCCTCATTAAAACATAAAGGTCAATTCACCGTGTGTCACGGTTTTCCACGGAGATGGAGAACAAGAAGAAATGAAGTTCTTGCACGTTCAGGCTGACCTACAATGTACTCAGTAGTCCGAGCAATTCTCATGAGATTCTCCAGCCCACTCAGGGAAACCATGCTGTGATTACGTGGGAGTATTGTACATGTGCGAAGAGTTGTAGAGGGCTTCAATATGGCCAGGTGTTTTTGTTGTCAAGTTGGCTGCAAAGGGTCCAGTGCCTTTCGGTATATTAAATATCCCAGTAACAAAAATAATTACTCGTGTTAAAACACGGCCCATGAATTCACAGACGCTAATAAACAATACAACATACATATACACAGACCTGTGCATGTACGTGTGGGCCATAAACATGTGTTCTGTTTGAAACGTTTGAACGACTGAAGGAAAAAACACACTGAAATGAATTAGTTGCTGCGCTGGCTTAGTGAAGAACCAAACTGACTACACCTGTACGTGAATAGAGTGGCTCTCCTGTGGCAATTCCCTCACCCCCACATGCACTGCAATAGTTTCATGGAGGAACAAAGGTCATAAGTGGGACACATGCACACATACTGTAGGTGTGTACATAATTTTGGGACTGCTATTCTATACATGTTTGTCTACAACGGTGAATTTATAATTCAATGCTATTTTGCCAATTAAATGTTTCATGAGATTACATGTACATGTAACTAAGACTTGTTACTGCTTACATTTTTACTGTATTTCGAAAAGAGCAGGTTTCTGTACCAAAGAGGCCAATTAAACATCACGGCAAATATCAGGTTACAAAAATATTTGTCTTTTAATCTTTAAGCAAAGCATGGTACAGCATACAAATTGTAATTGATTTAATATCTGCGCTAAAATGCATTGAATGTTTAAATTTTGGAGCGATCATTTTAACACCAGAAAAATCAGCATTAGAATCACTTTCAGCGTAATACCTACACTTGGTTCAAGTCTGTTTGACTACTGCCCGTTCCTAGCTCTATGCTTGAGCAAAGACTACCCTGGGCCCGGGCCCAGCAGAACCTGTGGCACAATGTAATCTAGGCTCAAGTGGGATTGTTATGTAATGGACCACACCAGTTGCGCTTTACAGCAACCACATCATGTACATGTATATCTTTCTGAAATGCCAAACTGTTGTATTACAGAGGACTCTCTCAGTCCCTGGATGACCATGGAGGTGAAAGGGGGGAGTGGACCTACAGGGGTGCAAAGGTCACTCATAACCACTGGTCCACAATTCAATGAAGCAACTGGTATTGCTCTGCATAAATTTGGAACAAGATTCAACGCTTCTCCTTGTATTTATATTTTTGCGCAGTTTTCTTCAAAATGTCTGCAGTAAAACAAAAACATTATAGGGAAAATTTCAAACAATACTGAATCTCCATTGGTTCCTTGTCACAGACACCAGCCCGGTGGTAATAATTTTCCTTCAAATCACACAAAAGTACAAGTCTGTGACATTACATTTAGAATAAGACATGGAATGAGACACAACAGACATAAAACCATGGACTCAGTCATAAGTGACAGATAGGCCTGTTGGCCTACAAAATTAAAGAATCTTATCACAGAAGAAATGACAAAAACTGTGACATGCCTTGGCCAGAAATGGAAGGAATTAATGCTGTGATCTATCAGCTCCTTAATTAAAGAGTTCCGTATACATGTACATGTAAACGGGTAACACTTGAGGCCCTGTGCACAAACCTATAAGACTTGCCTGAAAAAACCCAAGTGTTTTAAGGAAAAGTCAGAATTTTCTTAGCTAAAATAGATGTCACTTTTTAGGACATGTTATCACTTTCTGATGGCTGTTGTAACATTTTAAGGAAAAACTAGTGTTGTCCGTATGTGGAGCTCTTTCTAGCTAGAGGGAACAAACTACCTACAACAATAACGATCGCGAGCAGTAATTCATCAAACGTTACCCAGTGTTGCTATGAATTTGTTCCCTTCTTTAAATCTTCTGAGCACCTTAAATGTGAAAACGGCTTATACCCCTGGTTATCAAATCACTGGTTATGGGGGTTCGAGGTTGAAATCCCCACAAGAACAGCGTGACATTTTGACTATGTCGCCAGCTGTGAGGTGGACAGTGGTGGATCATGCGGAGTGGTGGGGTATTCTACCCTACCCCAGAACTGTGGGGTCCAACGTTTCCCCCTTCCCACGTGGGAGCAGAGCGGACGTCGGACCCCACAGTTCTGGGGGTAATTCTACCCCAGAACTGTGGGGTTTGATGTCCCCTGCGCTCTCACGGAGAACGGCAGATGTGGGGATATTCTGCAAATTCCAAAGAATGTACCACTGTGTCATGTGTGCGTACAGGTCTACCTATGATCTAGTGATGATGTTGGCCCTACATGTAGCTCAATCATGTCACTGTCAATCATTGTTAATTGCCAATTGACAATCAACAGGATCAATGATTGGAGCCTGGGCCTATGCATTCTTTTGCGGTTGAAGAAATACTGTGCAGCTGGTATTTATTTTTATAACATACAGACATTAAAGTTAGTTTCTTGTTTGTCGCTGATGTTAAACAGAACTTGAAACATTGTTGAAGTTACGCTTGTCACGCTTGTGCAGAATCAGCGTCAGTACCTGAATACTGCACGTATCGTAGTGCGTACATAACATACGTACACAAAAAACAAGCATGCTCGTACGATTTCAGCAAAATTACGGTCAACTTACCGGGACTATTTAATAAATTCTCCGACAAAGTCACTAAAATCTGGTAGATTGAAGTCTCCCTCACGTCACTGTACTCATGGGGAAGTTATTCAAACATTCTTTAACGCCAAAAAGTTGAGTAATTTAGGGGAATTTAGACGCGGTGTTATCGGAACAAGGGAAAGATGACGTGAAACTCGTTTCGTCGGATCGGAAGTACGTTCGTGCTAAAAGTGAATAGCGCCACCAATCAAACATTTCGCGATCTTGACCCGTTGCATCAATTGACTGTACGGTATATACCACACGCCACGTTTTGTTCGTTAACATTCACAAATTTCATTCACTCATTTTTCATTTATATTTCGCACGACCAAATTTTCGCCGTCTAAACGATTCTGTTCAAATTCAGCAGCTAATAATGAAGTTGGTATCAATTTATAAAAGGAGCATCTTCAATGATTAACGTCAATAGAAGTTCAGGACTCAAGTGAACTGCAAAAATCTAGTATCACAAAGTGAAAACATTTCCAAGTCACAAAATATTCTTCATTAAGTATCTCTTGATGTGGGCTTCCCCGGCTCCCATTGATCTTATCAGTGCACGTCACAAATCTACTTATACAAAATATCTAGAACAGGTTTCTGTTTCTGATTTTTCTGCAGGTGCCAATGAGAGAGGAACAATTTCTGATATTTAATAAAATATCAATCTATGAACTTTGCTACAAAATGTCAAGAATTGAAAGATTTATTTATTCATCCTACAAGAGTATTGAGAGAGGATGCTCAGTGCATACATGTTACACTTTTTAAATCTCTTTCCTATTTAAGATTTCACTTTTATTTGTGGGACCTGATTCATTTTCAAATGTTTCCTGTTGGAATCAAACAAAAACACTCCAAACTTGGGACAAAAATTGAACAAAAGTACTCCGAGTTGTGGCTTAATTTAAAATGAGTCACGTTTGTGTCTGCAGCAGAAAATAAAAGCTGGATCGAGCTACGCACTCTCACCTCGGGAAACTGTGCCACGGGCACTGCCAGGATTTTTTTTAAGGGGAGGGGGCTCCCCTTGCCCACTACTTGTGACACTCATGGACTATAAAATGAGAACAAAGCCCGATGCTGAAACCATAGGAAATACCAAACTTTGGAAAAGCCTGTTTCAACTTGAGTCTGCTACTGCCCCTGTAGTATTAGTCTCCACCTCCAGGTGTTGGTGTGACTTCTCTCTGTCCTGGTGTTTCTGCTGTGGCTTGATTTTTGGAACTGGTGCATTTGGGTTCTGACCTTTGTAGAATTCTCTCAAGAGTTGCACGGCTCTGTCCTTGGAGACTCCCGGCAGGCATCTCAAGGTCTTCCCCAGTGAGGGGATTTCATCTGAGTGAATGTTCAGGACGGAGCCGCAGCCTCCAAATCGCTCATTGGCGCATCCGTACACGACCAATGGGACACCGACTGCACGCAGGGCACCGGCGCACATGACGCACGGCTCCACGGTCACGTACAGCGTGGTTTCGGCAAAGACGTCGACGGACCGGGCACCTATTTCCTCACACCACCGAATAGCATCCTCTACAGCAATCATCTCCGCATGCCTGGTGGCGTTCCTGGTCTCGTTGACCCTGTTGTTGCCAGTGGCGATGACCTCATCCCTATAAACAAGCAGACAGCCCACGGGCACCTCTCCTCGATCCCGGGCAGACACTGCATAATCAAGTGCCTCAGTCATCCATTTCTTATGCTCCTCTCTTATTTCTGTATCTGCCATAACTTATCCTCAAGAGATAGCAAAATGTTCCGAAATTTGTACCCATGAGTCCCTATACCACGCTTAAGAACTATTCCTGAAAGGTTTTAATTGAGGTTAGAAATTTAAGCCAGATAAGAAAGACCTGAGGTAAGGCTAAGACTAAGGTCGTATTGACAGTCTTCCTATAGACTCTACAGGTGCACATAGGAAAAGTAGTCTCCTACACAGTTCATTTTGCAGCCGAGTTCTCCTCTTGCTTCTTGGTGTACCAATGCTCAAGGAACTCAAGATAAACCTTCTTCTGTGGTGCTGAAGCCGGCACAAAATGACCTGTGAATGAGAAAAAGAACAGTCTTGTTTTAAGGATGATAATTTAATCCAAAGACCTGCAACATTTTCAAATTCTGGACCTAACTTCAAGAAGATGACGAGACACTGTCCAGATCATCTGGTTTCGTCAGAAAGATTTATTTTAGACTTCAGATTATCTTTGACAAAAATGTGACAACGTACCGCCTGGGTGATTCAGAATTTGTGGGTTGACAAAAACTGGTAGTAGATCTTCACTTGATTCTGGAGAAAAAATTATAAACGACCCAAACATTTATATGATGTAAGATTGCTAATTTTAGAGACTAAAGCTAAGCTTGATACAAATGCATATTGTGAATTCATGTAAAGTTCCTTGGTCCTCAAAGCATTCCTGGGTTTCCACTGACAGAGAAATCCTTGAAGCATACACCATTTAGCAATTGGTCAGGTAACACTGGGTTAATAAATACCTCTTGGGATGACGCCGTCCGTGTCACCAAACACGTGTAACGTTGGACAGTTGATAGGGTTGGCATAGAAGGCGGCGTGGTTGGAGCTGAGGCTGCGAAAGCTGGCCACCAAGATGGCAAACTTGAAGGGAAATCTGGTATCTGGGGGAAATGGCCAAAAAAAGTGATTAGCTTTAATGAGACCGTGTTCTGGCTACATTAGGAGGTTTCTGTCTCAACAAACAAAACAAACATGCCTGCTTTGAAGCATCGTACAAGGTGTACGCGTTCTCCAAGGCAAGAACACTTAAATTGCAATAAGTCAGCGAAAACAGTAAGGAGGTGGACTGTTCTGAAGGGAAGCAAATGAAGCACTCAACATTTCACAAATATCGACATATTCTGGTTATCTTCGTTTATGATAAACTTTACAACAGCAAGTACAAACCTAATAGCTTTGAAAGTCAACAGTGCACAAACATGTTTATTAAAAGTCGCCTAGCTCTCTATAGCAATGCTTTTTTGTTGCGATGTGGGCAAGAATGTTATGTGGACAAGGAAAATCCACAAGGAAACAGAGTGGATTGATTTACAAATATAAATTTGCCATTTTTTTTTTTACCTACCTCCCTGATTTTGCAAAGCACAGAGTATTGCTGCAAAAGCTGCTCCCTGACTGAAGGCAAGGACGCCTGCATTTTGAAAAAAAAAAAAAGGGGATGCAAAGTTGAATTTCAAAATTGTCCGCCGTCATGTCATGAATCAATGACATATAATCTGAACCGACATCCGCACATCAGCCCAATATAACCGGATGATGGGGAGTGCATTTCTGCATTGATGCTGACCTCTGTCTGTAACTAACTTTAAATATGAGGGCTCACTTTCATTCAACTCCTCAAAAAAAAAAAGGAATAGAACATTTAATACAGATTAAAACCCATCCACTGCCAAACTGATGTGGACAAGTGACATAAACTGTCTATTTGGTTTACATGGCATTGCTCACCGTCAAAGGGCCCAAGGTCATTGAACGTTTGGGCCACTGTGGTCAGCGATTCCTGTAGGCCAGGGTTCACATCGCACACCTGGTTGGCCTTGAAGGTGTGGTCAATTGTAGAGAACCACCAACCTCTCTGGTCTGTCCAATCAAGCCAAAAAAGGAAGCAACAGCGATCATCAGTGGCTCTAACCTTTACAGCCGATTCCTAACAAGCACAAGCACAAGCCCTCTGCACTGTGCTGCAGATGGTTAATTTATGACAACGTGGCTATGTTTTAATTTTGTATCTACTATGTAGACGTTTGACCCCGTTTTTGGGGGAGGGGAAGGTACTTCCTCTCAGCTTACCTAAATCTTCTTCACCTTCGGCTGGCAGCACTTTGTTTGGAGCTGAAATGAAAACTGCAAAGAAAAACGACCAAGCAACGAGATGCTCAAAACGAAGACTTCTATGAAAATATATAACCTTTAGCCGAGCAACTTAGAGTAATTTTGTTTTTCTCTTTAACGAACATGTAATCAATCAATTAAATCAATCAAATTTTGCTCACCAAGTTCTGTGTACTTCTTTATGATTTTCCTGAGTGCCCCAGTCCGTTCTCGGAAGATCTGAGCATTTTGGCGGTAACCATGGATACACAGAATCTAAAATTAAAAGCAAATAAATGAATTCAAATAAAGGTTGGCAAATGATTAAAAGCATGAATCAGCCCACAACCCCCCCCTAAACAAAATCCAGAGATGTGGACCCTTCCACAGCCCTTGTCTCATAGTCAACGGAACGGATTAATTGTATGATCGTGCACAAAACGGTGTGGCGCTTAGATGTTGGTACACTCATCATGTTTTTGACACTGGTCCATGCGCATACACACGGTAATGCATGACCCTCTTACACAACGAAAGAATATTGTGTAACTTATCCGCAGTCAGCGTTTCCTTTATGCTTTGGCGTTCTACTCATACCTTTAGTTTGTCGCTTGCTCCAGACGCGGAAGAAGACATATCTTCATCCTTAGTTAATAAAGATAAAGAATTTCGTTTCTCTAAACATTCCCTCGACGGCCCTCCTTGATTGCGGCGCAGCGGAACATTGGCTATGTGGTCAGTTGAGGGCGCTCTTCAGTTGCTCACGTGGCGCTGGCGCACGCCAGCGCTGCACGCGCGGTGAGCGCAATAAAGGGGGCCGGGGGCGGGAACGGGGAGGGGGGGGGGATATGCTTCTGATCATGTAAATAACAGTTAACATGCATGAGCAACCTAATGGGGTTTAAGTGGTAGAATTGAATGATAGTATTGCATTCAAACTTAAAAGCAACTGAAAGAGCTATCACTGGACAGATTTGGCAAAGTGTCATCTTTATTAAACTAGCACTTGGCATTACATAAAAGAAACTCACAACTCAATGTTTGTACACGAATTCACAAATGAGCGTTACTTATGTACTTCAAGAAAATTTGATACTCCGATTCTTGGCCATTTAACGCTGCTAAAACATTCCCTTTGAAGTTTACATGGAGGCAAAAATGTATCGTTTGCATTAAAGTGTAGCTGCAATGAATTTTTCTTTGACACAATTTTTCTGCATCTTTGTACTTTTCTTCAATGCATGAAAATTCTTACACACTCCTATTTGGTTAAAAATGCATTGAAAAGTGCACACTTTATCGATGTTTTCCCAGACAACTGATGGCGCTGTTGCTATGAAGTCATCCAGGGAAGACGTGGTTCAGTGCATAGGTATATAGAGCCTGAAAGTTGACCCCCTGATGGTGCGCTTCCGGGCCCCTTGGTTAGGAAAAATAACGTGTAAAGATTTTAGAATTTGTAATATTTTTTCGTTCAGTTACTTCTTAAAAAATCCAACTCGGAAAAGGGGCTTTGGAAAATATTTGCTAGTCTATCAATTTATAGAAACTGAAAAATCACCTGACCTAAAAGAGAAATATCCTGCCAAAAACTGACCTATCACTTCCGAAAATCTAAAATACATGAAGAACAGTGCAATGAGGCAGTCTCGTTCGCAGATGAACATTTACGGTTTGAAATTTTATGGTAGTCTATCAGTAAAAGCCAAAATAAAAAACAGATCAATATTTTACACAGTCGTGTAATTTATAAGTAATAAGCTTAAAGCAACATTCAACTTCGATTACGAAAGATTTTGATCTTTTGTATAAGCTTTGCTTACAACAACTGCGTGATGCTAACTCAACGGAATGTGGAACCCATCGACTGCAAGTAGGTAAATCTTTGCAACGTTGTACAATCTTTTTTTCACGTAAGCACGGGCAGTGAAAACAAACGTGCATGAACATGGACACCTAGGTATGATATTGCCGGAAGTGAAAGGTCGTTAAGAGAATTCGTTTTTTACCTATCTCCATGTGACTTTTCCTATAATTACTTGAGGCAGACAAAAGTAAAATTCCAACATGATTGTTTCATTTGGTGGTTTCAGTTAGGAATTATTCTTCCAAAAATTATCGAACGTGATAGGACGGCCCAACATAAATTCCCCACAGGAGGACCGCACGAGGGTTCAGGCAACTCGCTGCGTGACCTTTTACTTTCAGGCTCTATTTCTGTTCAAATTGTGTACCCAGAATTTACTAACTAAAAACATTTCCGAGAGAGGGATTGATGGTTTCTTATTGCTTTGCACATAAACAATAAATCAGCAAAGAAGAGAAAACGTTGTCCAAGAAAATCTACAAAAAAGCAGAACGTTTTGTATACAAACCTAACATTGAGGCTCTTCCTGAGACGACATCACAGTTGCTCATGAATATGGAAATAGTTATTAGCATAAAAAACAAAATGGCATTAAAATACCCCTTGAAATAGTGAAACAAAAGTTGAAAATAAGTTTTACGGAGGGAGGCACGAAGGTGCATTTTACAGGTTTGTAATCAAAAACATTGATTGCAGCTACCCTTCAAACGTTTTCTGTTTCTTTTTGAAAACTCCTCGGCATTGGAGCAGAAAAAGGAAATTTGTAAGCACGGAAAAGACCAACAACCCCGTTAACGAAACTAATATCCTAATGTCAGAACTTATAAGGTTTGAATTAAACACACCATATCAAAGTTGGCAGAACCTTTAAAATCCATGCTATTATGTTTCTTCAAATGGCTAGAGCTATAGGAACCAACGCTATGGATGACAGTACAATGAAAAAGGAAGAATGCTATTTATTTTAATATTTGGTGCGTACTTCTCTTCGAAGGCCAACATTATTCCCGAAATCTACAATTAGCTATCGATTATAACGGACTGGTCGTGGCTCTGTTCCTGTGACTGCATTTTTATTGGTCAGAAACAGCACTTCAGCAACAACAACAGAACCGTTCAAACCTTTTTGTTTGGAGATACAGAGTGAACGGGAAGATAGGTAGAAAAAAAATTCCATGCTCTTCTTGTGATAGCACCGTGTCATGATTCCAACTAATTTAATACATCTTGTCAACGAAGGCAACCGCCACACCAATTACCACTCCCAGGCTACGCCCCCCGTAAGACCACACCACGCCCACTTTTCCCGCCCGGTTGATGGCGTCCAAGTCCGGCTCGTCGTCGTTGCACAGGTTCGACTGGCAGCAGGAGCGGCAGGGTCCCGTACGGGACAGCTCCCGGCAGGTGGTCTCCTCCGTGCACTCTAACTCTGTGGTGCAGCCCCGCTTCATGTACGAGCGAACTCCTGCCTGGGTCGTGACATCTGTCTGAAAAGTTAGATGCAGTGGACAGAGGGAAGTGTATATAAGATCATTAGGAAGAGAGGTGGGGAGTTCAGTCGAAGAGGGCTATGAGGGAAAATGGGAGTGGCATATTTCTGTCATCCCAAGTTTGTATGGTCAGAGCATGCAGTGAATTGCCTGTGAGGGGATGGGGAAAATTAAAAAAAAAACAAACAAACAGATTCGGGCATGGTGCCTGGTGGAACAGTTTGGGTTGAAATCGGACATCCTTGGGTTTAGATGGAGTGTCCTGGGTTGTATGAATTGGGACGTGGGGTTATAGGCTAGATTTCCACGGGCTGAGCTGGTCTGAAATGAGTTGAGTGAGTTACCCAAGTTTGAGTGCGCGAATCATGAATCTGATCAGCGAAAACAGACTGAAACAAAGGTTACAGATTCAAAGGGATGTTTAGAAATAAGCTACATAAAACGTTCGTCGGATTTCTTAGCAATGCCACTTGATACGAAGCGCAAGCTTATACATGATGAAGTATGGCCCCTCTCGTCCCCAGGGTTTCCCATAGTTCTAATGCTCGCCCTAGCATAATAATGACGCCTGAATTAATGATGAGGTTGATCGGCCGAGCAGAATAAGTAGTTGCGCAAGATTCGGCCCACATAATCTCATCCCAGCGTCGCAAATAATGTCAAAAATAAATATATTTATGATAGCATTTCCAATAATTCTGGGCATGGGGGGGGTAGTTTCGAATGTATCCAAAAATACATAACACCCCTTACATAGCAATATGTCTTGCATTTTGTGGTCGAGTTGAAGTCTGGCCCCGTCTCGCAACTCGATTCGGGACTAAGCAGTGCTGCACAGTCGTAACAGCTAAACTCTGCGGCGGCGGCAAGTCCGAAGAAAATACAACCTGCATGGAAAATAAATCAATAATCTTTCATTATTTTAATGTTTAAGTAGTGACGAAAGCAATTTGTTTCACCTATTTCGTCAAGTGTAAGTTGATGGCGCCAAGTTTTGGATTGGGAATTAATAGTGGAATTTACACAGATAAACAATTCTTGTAAGATTAAATCGGGATTTCGTCCAAGTTATTTTATTGCGTAGCGGACTTTTAAAAATCTTTTATGAATTGAGCAAAAATGGAATATGCTCTTTGTAACGGGATTACTAATAGGGAAAATGAAATTATAAAGGAAAACAAAACCAAATTTAAAAACAATGGAACACAATAAAAACAAATACAGTCTCAGACACAGTGAGTGGAATTATTGAAATGTAATTGTAAACAAAAAGTTAGAAACGAACGTTTGATTGTTGACGGAACAAAAAGTATAGCCAATCTGTCACAATGTATACCAGTAAATACAGGAGAGAACTTACCCACGACGATCACGACAGTTCCTGCCCACTCGTCCATCCTTCCTCCGCGCCCCATGCTTTCATCTGCCGATAGCCCCCAACATTCACTCGGCCACCATGTTCTCTCGTTGCTTAATTAATTCTTGCTCTGCCCGGTGATGAGATAAAACCCTGAAATATTTTCTTCCGGGGAATATTGCAGGACGATGCTCTTGTGACATCAAGAAAACTCCAGCAATGGCAGTTCGTCGGTGCCTCGGTGTTTTTTTCAGTATTGTACCAAGTGCTGTCTGGATGTGCAGGGCACGGTGGCATACTGATGTGTCATCATGAGGGATTTCTTTGCGCTTCGGGAGACGCGATCGCGCGTAAAGGTGTGAAAAAAAGCTGAGTGAGGGGGTCGGAAGAGAAGACTGCCGGTGAGACTTTGATCAATACGGATAAAAAGCATTGATTTTTTTTTCGTATTGAAATCGATAAATTGTTATCCGGTGTTCACAGATGTAAAAACTGAAAAAAAGTCGTCAGCTCCTCAACCAGTTTAGCTGCATAGCGGATAATGAGGTGTCAAATTACATCAAATGGCGTTTTTTTTACACACTTATCAATTTGTTCGTACTCTGTTTTGAAATCAAAGAGCACTAGGATATAAAACAGCACATGATGTTTGCTATGCAATTAAAAAATATTATATAAAAAGTTGTGTTTTGTTAAGTCCTGGGTTTGCTATCACCGTGCGAAAATATCCTTTTGTGATTATACGTAATTCTGAAAATGAAAGAACCGTTATTTAATAACCACACACACTCACAAAAGAGATATTTTCGCATGGTGCTACCGCAAACCTAATACTTGTATTTATCTTCCCGCTCTCACCACGAAAAACTTAAAAGCTCACGTTGTGTTTTCTTTTTAATTAACAAGTACTTAACACTTCAGCATTTTGTGTGGTATTTGTAATAATATTAGGTCGTGGGTATATTATAGGGTTTTTATAATATCATGCAGATGATATTTTTATAATATCATGCAGAAAACAACACAATGGCCCAGTCATTGAAGGTCGGGATAAAAAAGCTTATTTATCCCAAAACAAAATGCTTGTGACACTTACGCACAATCACAATAATGGCCGGCTATGAGGACGGACCAGGATGTTGCAATAGAGATGAACACTCCTGGTGACAAAAAGGGTACCCGAGATTTCCTAGATACAGTCTGAAAATTGTTTGTAGGAAATTCGTCAAACATTCCATTAATTGTTGTGTCATTAACAGGCGAAGATTCCAATCAACTTCAACACTGAAATTTTAAAGACAATGTTTTTCTTGAGGCATTTTTCTCCCTGCCGTTTGTAACATGGGTTTGGTCGGCTGAAAACTAGCCCCCAATAAACTGCTTTACGCCACTGCTCTCGTAAAAATTGCAGCGCACGAGAAGAGGAAAGTTACAGCTTACTGTCGACAAAGTGAGAGAAATATGCATTAAGTGACATTTCCCTTTTTTAACAGTTTAACAATTAGTCCGTGTACAAACTGAATCACCTTTAGTAATATTAAAGTTATATGCCGATGTATTTTAGCCTGATACAGGAAATAGCCGTCGTTTCACATGAGCTATAATTTTCTAAAGGTGGACGTGGTGGAAGTTCAAAAATGTCTTTATGCAAAAAATAACGCATGGAAAAAGTAGAGCACATCGTTATTTAACACAAGTAAATAACCATTATCGTACGTTCGTCGCCCCCTTTCCTGTAATTGCGTCGTTATTACCAATTCTGATTTGAAAAATTACCGTCTCGTTGACTTGTAATATTTATTCAAGGGTCTCCTCCTTGATGAGCCTACAGCGGCGATCGTCATTATGCCCACGTAGGCCGCCCTCTTTTAACCTTCAGCAACGATGGTGGCTCCTTGTCAAAAGAAGCAGGGGAAAAGAAGAAGAGGTATGGGCCGTGGGTGAATAAGTTCATAGTTATAGCTTAATTTGGCGGGACTGGAGCCCACGACGTTCCATTACTCATTCGCAAAACAAGTCTGACAAACAAACTCTCTGTTTGTTTACTGAAAAGCGCTGCAATGATTCCCTGCAATTTCATTTCAGCAGTTCTTTTCTAGAACCTGTCTCAGCATGGAGGTATCAACCACGCGAGGCCCATCTCGCCACATCTATCGGCCCACATCTGCCCCAACTTTAACCCAGCCAAGGCGCTGAATGATATATTCAAACGATATTACACGTCCAGAAAATGCTGTTCAATATCGAGTGACTGAATCGATGTTTGCTCGGTTTATTTGACGATCTCCGTGGATATTCTGCATGTATAGACAATATACAAACTAATAAAGACCAAGATAACAGCAAACAGAGATCAAGAATAAAACAATGAAGACAAAAAATACAATGTGAATCTGAGGCATTGTCGGGGACGATACAAACAAGCTGATGAAAGCTTACTTCCATTTAGTTTCTCAAGATAATAAAAATACATGATGTCAAGCCAAAGCCAGACATTGCGCAGCTGAAACGTATTGGGGGCGCTATCTCGGATATCAGTGAGACGTGATGCGTCTAACGTTATTACGCAAAAACTCTGTACAATAATTATTGGAACACACATAACATGCCTGTTCAAGCACCCCGACAGCACGTCAGGGGTCAACTAATTCAAGGGTCTGCTCTAAGTAAAAGATTGACCAACACCGGAGCCTAGACCTAGAAATAAATCAGGTCAGCCAAACTCAGCGTACATTCAGCAAACAGAGCACGTGATACTCTACCGCATTCATGACGCAGAGTCTGCAGTACATTTGTAGCTCAAAGAGCCCTTGGTCTTTAGAATAAACCAACAAAAGACAGACCCAAATCTCGAAGTTCTGTCCCAATAATTTTCAAGCATCACTGGTATTTGTCCACACTGAAACGAAGCTACGAAAGTGCTCCCATGACGACGCGCCAGGACAGAGCCTCGGGTTAAATGATGAAGTTTAGTTCTCCTTTTCGCTGCTTACCTGTAAAATGCATTACATAGCCGTGCACTATAGCCGTGTACTGCTACATATCAAAGGTTCGATAAACACTTTGAGACCGGTTCGAGAACGCAAATTTTGGCGTCCAGGATGCGTTTGCAGCGAAATTTTTAGCCCAAGTCGGAAAGCGTCCGGCATTGCGAAATTCATTGTCTTTTCTCGCATTGAGTTGAAACCATCTCAATGCGCACGACCACTGAGTCTGCTTAGGCCAGTCTTTACAATGTAAAAACGTGCATATACATCGAAAACCCATTTTAATTTCGATCAGGATGCGTGTCTCAACCACGAACCTGGATTCATGTACTTTTTTGCTGATCCTTCGTTTAATTCGACATCAGCACAGCTTAATTTTAATATACTGATGGTTTATACTGAATCCGCATGCATGGATTGTAATGAATCATGCATGCAGTTTGATAGCAGATCTCGACTCGCGTCATTCGAATCGCCAAATGCTACACAAAATCTAGTGCATATACTTTGGTTGTCATGGGAATTCAGCTCTTCGCCAATTCCACGGATAAAACAAGGCGAAAAGAAAACAAACAGTAGAAGCCTTTTCATTTGCTGAGATGGCTCTATTCGTCTGGTTGATAACGGGCGTTATCGACCCCACGAAGGCGTTGGTTCACTCTAGCCGCTGGTTATTATCGGGAGACAAGCAACACGGTACTGACAGATGTGCTATTTTGGAGTTCAGCCCGGCAGGACGATCAAGAAATGTCAGGATGGCAACGACCTGGTTACAAATATCAAATCGGTTTGGCAATAAAAATGCACTGAGACTGATCTGCGCAGTCCTTTTTCATCTATTAATTTGCGTGGTCGCTTTTTATAAATTATGCACAATAATTGTGTGTAATTATGATAAGAATCGAACAATTTGAGAATCAGAACAACAGATAGATAAATAGGTGAGACTTTATTAAATCCAAAGACTGGGTCACTTTTTATAAATGCACAGAACGATGAGCATCGCACAAGTACCGAATCAGTATATCGAATTTCTTGCCATTTTCTTCGACCGTCATCAAGTCTTGAAATGCACCTTAGCCGCCTCATAACTGTCGCCTTATTGGCACCCATATGGCGAAGGGTGGTGATGCGGCGGTAATCCCACTATTCACCACGCTGAAGCCTTTCACACCAGTGCGACCTATGGAGTGAAATTACACCGCGGTCGATGAATAATTGTTCAGATAGTTTTCGCGGGATGGAGGATGGACGTTCCGTATTAACTTGATGCAGGGATGGAAGTTTAAGGTCGAAATCAGCCTCCTCGCTAAAGGGATAAAACCTTTTAACCCAGGCGGAGATTTGTTCGGAGATTTGTTGGTTTGTTGTCTTATGTGCCTGTGTTTCTAGTGAAACTTATTGGGTTTTTTATACAATCTGTCTTATATAGTGGATGTACGTCGGGTTTGCAAAGCCATGTTCATTTTTTGAAACTTACGTACAGCCATAATTACAAAATAATAATAATAAAATCATTTTAGTGACTGGCTGACATCAGAAAAGGCAATATATTACACAAGACTCGGTCGCTAATCTCCGCCAGGATTCAAAGCATACGTATTGGTTATCAGAGTCCGTCGATTACAGAGTACCGGCCGGTGCCCTTGGCTTATTGGGGTTGTCGCAGTGTCCACTTCTCCGGATCCAGGAAATGAGAGCAACCACTGGGCACCTAGAAATGCGAACACAGTGCGGGTAGCCGATGTCATCATTACTTGGCGGTGCCCCCGTTATACCGATCGATGGCTACGTTTCACCTTAGATCTAGCTCGCTGAATGATATGCGTCACACGACCACATTAGATAAATGCAGTAACGTTCCTTCATTTGATTAGGAAAAGTGCAACAGTGTTAACCTTTACAAATTCTGATGGGACGGTTTGAGATTTGAAAACTTACGTTTATTGACACATTTAACTGATGCTGTGCTCATTTACAATAATAAGTACGTCATCCATAAAGAACATTCCAACGCAAATATTATGCGAGAGCTGAGTAGTTTTCGGTTATACGCCAAATATGTGTAAATAATCCGAATTTGTTAGGACTGATCACTGTCAACAGCAGGCTACTTTCATTGTAAGATTAAAATGATGAGCCTATATAAACTGGACCGGCTAAAAACGTACATGACACATTCATGGCCCTGCAGTGAACAGAGCTAGGTTGTGGTACTAACACCCCGCACGACGTGACATGTGCATTCTACAACATTAAGCAATCCACGCTTTATAGAAAAAAAAAGATACTTCAGACGCAGACGTGTCATCAAGACAGCGATGTGTTAAAATATCGTCTCTCGGGGTAA